TTTCTAAAACTCTATATATGCATTTTGAAGTTTTGATTCATTTGTTAATTAGTGCCTCTCATCTTATTCACTCAGGCACATAATTGTTCCAGAGAGCATGAAGATGCTCCATCCTAATGAAATCTTTGATGATGTTCTGGTTCTGCATGTTTTGTTGATTAATTTGGAGAGGCGGGAGAGCAGAGGGGTTGATGGAGCGTGACATGCCCATTAAAAGATGACTGAGGGATAGTGTGGGACACAGAGATCTGGCAGGACAGGACAGGCCGGAAGCCATCAGCAGATAGTCTAGCTCTGTGGGACTAAGGTGTCCATCGAAATGATGTGTAAAACACATTTTGCTCTTTAAGGGCAAAATTAGAAAAACATATCAACTTGGCTCATGAATATTAATTATGTGGTATCATATAATTAAAATTCAGTAGGCCTACAATGCCTTGTTTTGCACTGTTCTTTACACAAAGCTGTCATATGGCTACAGAAGACGTGAAATATGTTGCATAAGTAAGCCGTATGGACCACATTTATGATATTTTTCTGGTATTTTGCATCCTTTATGAAGTTTGTAATTTTCTTCATTTATAATTGCATGGAAAAGTATTACAAGCAAGTTAACATCTTGCAGTTTACATCTTGCAGACTGTTTTTCTCACCATTCTAAGTTTACATCGTGCAAGAAGAAAAGTCAGAAGTGTGAAATAAAAAGTTGAAATTACCTTTGTTTTTATTCTGTGGCAGAATAACTATCCCTTTAAATTTTGTAACCATAAAATATAACCTGTTTTGAAAGAACACTGCACATTTTTCTGCTGAAATAAAGTTAAAGAACAACATAGTTTGACTGCAGGCTGAGCTGCCGTCTTCTGTTTCCATAGTCCAAAGATGACCAGATCCAGGTGATTGGCAACCTGAAGAACATCTCTATGGCATCCAGCAAGCTGCTGTTGGCTGCCAAGTCCCTCTCCGTAGATCCAGGGGCGGCAAACGCCAAGAACCTCCTCGCAGCTGCGGCACGGTAGGAATGAGCTTCATTCGGCAGTCTAGGGAGAGTTTAGTGATCATTAACCAGTCATCCTAAGGGTCATCCTGCTGGCCAACGACAAAAAGAAAGAGCTTTCGCAAAATGAGAAACTGTGTATGAGTGTGTAAGGACATGCCTACCTAACCATATTTTGAGACATTTGTATCCAGAAGTGAGCTAAATCTGACAAAACCTTTGGGGGCGTCCTCATTTGTTAAACACTGTAAATAAGTTTTGTATTTTTCTTTTTTTTTGTAAATGTAAAAATGCTGAAAGTTTTCTGTAAGGGTGTGAATTAGGGTTAGATTATATTATTTATAACTAGCTGTATATAAAAACAATCACACTTTAGTTTGGGGATCAATTCTCACTATTAACTAGCTATTAACTACAGCTTTTACCTCAATAAACTCGTAAATTGCTGCTTATTAATAGTTAGTAAAGTAGTTGTTAAGTTTAGATGTGGGGTCAGATTAAGGGATCTAAAATATGGTCATGCAGAATAAGGCGTTTATTTGTGCTTTATAAGTATTAATAAACAGCCAGTATGATAGTAATATGCATGCTAATAAACTAGTTAATAGTGAGAATTAGTCCTTAAAATGAAGTGTTAAAACAATAGAATTCTGTTGAATTATCTATGTTCTGTCTACCAAATATCCCCTTGAGGAAAACAAATAAATACACATTACTAGGTCGAGCAAACATGTTTGTAGAGTGTGTTTGCTTGTTTATCTGTTTTTTTGTTTGTTAGTTTGCAAGTGTTTGTGTTTATGTGTGTATGTTTGTTAGTGTATGAGTGTTTGAGCAAATGGTTTGTTTGTTAGTGTGAATGTTTGTCTTTAATTGTTATTGTGTAAGTGTGTTTGTGATTGTTAGTGTGAGTTTTGTTTGTTAGTGTGTTTTGTCTGTTAGTGTGAGTATTTTTGTGTATTAATATGCATTTTGTTTTTCATTGTATGAGTAGGTTTGTTTGTTAATGTGCGTTTTATGTGAGTTTTGTTTGTTGTGTTTGTTTGTGTGTGTGTGTGTGTATGTTTGTTAGTTAGTGTTTGAGTTTTGTTTGTTATTGTGCTGGCATGTTTGTGTTTGTTGTTGTGTGAGTATGTTTGTGTTTATTAGTGTGTCAGAGAGAGTTTTGTTGGTGTGTGTGTGTGTGTTTTGTTAGTGTTTAAGTTGTTAGTTATTGTGTATGTTTGGTTGTAGTGTGGTTTTTGTGCTTGAGTTTTGTTTGTTATTGTGTGAGTATTCTTTTGTCTCTAGTGTGCATGTTTTGTTTGTTAGTGTTTAAGTTTTGTTTATGTGTGGGCGTATTTTTGCTTGTGCACATGTTTGTTTGTTTGTGTGTGTGTGTGTTTGGTTAGCTTGTATGTTTGTTTATTTGTTATTTGGATTTTCTTCTGAGTGTTTTTGTGCTTGTGGTTTTGTTTTTATTGAGTTTGATTCTGTGTTTGTTATTTTGTGTCAGATGTGTGTGTTCCATCCAACGGCCCCACACAAGCATAATAGTACAGCATAATAGACACAATAAATAATGTCATAATGAAAATCTAAAAAAGGAGAATGGTTTTGGGCTTGAGTTACATTTAGGGCCAGAATAAGGGGATAGAAAATAGTATTAGCTCAATATAAAAACAATAGAAGTCAGTGGAAAGTACCTATCATGATGAAAAAAAAGTGCGTGCAAGCGGCAGAATCCTCTCAGGTACCACAGGAAAGCAGCTGCTCCTGAGGGTTTAGAGCTAGATTGATTGATTTAGTTTCCTTAATGAAGGAGAGAGTAGACTGACACACATACATACCAACACACACATACACTTACTCGCAGCTTGGCTCATATGAGTGTAACAAAACCTAGTTTTGTCATGATTCTGGTACATTTCTAAGACCTCAATGTTAGTGTTTGCTTCCTATGTTTAGAAGGGACTGAAAGCTCAATGAGTTTGTGAAAAATAGATTTGATATGTGAAGTCTTTAAAGGAGATTTTTGTGTCAGTCTGACTGTGTGATTTTCTGTTTCAGAGCGGTCACAGAGAGCATTAATCAACTCATCACACTGTGTACCCAGCAGGCACCAGGACAAAAAGAGTGTGACAATGCTCTACGAGAACTCGAGGTACTTGAACACACACGCACTTAGTCTCTCAAAGTTTTATACATTTTATATTTGAGATGATTATTGATGAAATTATCATGATATTGTACTTCTATGAATGTCAACAGATGTAATTGTTTTCTTATAAACATAAATATGTATGAATATGAATATTACAATATATTATGTTTTTTTATGTGTGTGTCTTTGCGTGTACTGTATACACACACACAAAAAAAACATATGTATATATATATATATATATACATATGTTTTTTTTGTGTGTGTGTATGTTTTGAATTTTTTCACATATATTTCGACAAACAGTATGAAATAAGCAAGATGAGGGCCTCTTTGTTTCGTTAGGTCTTCTCTGGTTGTCTTATTCATATAAGATCAACATTATATCATATTTGGCCTTAGCCACAGGTCAATCATGTACTCAAGTAGAGCCAACGATGATGATTTGGGGTCTGTGAATGATTATAATTTGTCAAAACCTGTGTGTGTCTCCAGTAATCATTTTGAAATGGGCTGTTTCATCCTCACATACAATGCTTTTTGTTCATCTTCCGAGTAGTGTGTTTTTTATTACATTTATGAGCCTTGAAATTCTTTGATATACTGTAAGTTAGAAATATCTCAACAGGCATGTTCAAAATCTTAAAGGATATTAACTTCTCCCTCTCCCACATACACACAGGCTGTTCGAGGAATGTTGGACAATCCCAATGAGCCGGTCAGCGATCTCTCTTATTTTGACTGCATTGAGAGCGTTATGGAGAATTCCAAGGTAGAGAATCCATCACAATATTCCAGAATTCTCTAAAGAAACTTGTTCGTTCCAAATGTTTACACATCTCGCCGTCTGACTGAACAGGTTCTCGGGGAATCCATGGCTGGAATCTCACAGCACTGTAAGATGGGAAACGTGCCAGCGTTTGGGGATTGCGTGGGTGTGGCGTCCAAAGCGCTGTGTGGGCTGACTGAGGCAGCGGGACAGGCGAGTTTTCAGCCTGATAGTGTCTGATGCTGCTCCCACAATGCACTTGTAACATTGTGCTTCAGGAATGCAATTATAAATTCAATAGCTAAGTTTTATCAACATCATTTGATTTAATCAACAACTTGAAAACACGTTTGCAAAACATTTAGCTTTGGTAAAGTGACATTTCTGAGGGTAACTGTATAGTTGGTGGGAAATAATGTAGGATAGGGCTTGTTTTGATCCATCATAATATGATATAATATAATGTTTCAATATATCTTGATGTGTAGGTATATATATATATATATATATATATATACGCAATATCACTCGAGTACGAGAGCGATACCGGCTCTATATCAGCATGGCTGTGATTAGGCCAGAGGTTTAGGGCAAAATATATATATAATACATAAAAAAAAATAATAAATAAAAAAAAAAAAAAAAGTAAGCTATGGTTAATATTAATTATTGCTGTCCATGATGCCTTGGTTTTGTCTGTTGTTTACTTTTTACTTTTTCGTGGAAAAAGGTTAATTTTGATGCGATTTATTATTAGGAAATGTAAAGTATAATATAATATAATATTAAATAATAAATATAAATATAAATAAATGTAACTAATATAACAATATTTAATACATGTAAATAACACATTAAAAAAATAAAATAAATGAATAGAAATTATCAACTGATTTACTCAGCTGATTATTTTAGCATGCCTTTATTTTTCTTCAGGCCTCTTATTTGGTAGGAGTCTCAGACCCAAACAGCCAGTCAGGTCATCAGGGATTGGTCGATCCCATCCAGTTTGCCAGAGCCAATCAGGCGATTCAGATGGCCTGCCAGAATCTGGTGGACCCGGCCAGCAGCCCATCCCAGGTGACTGTTTGGTTCTTCGGTATCAAGTTTCACTCTTAATTTTTTACTTGTCTTGCCATATTCTGATTGGCTTTTTTGTGTTTTTAATGATTTTAATCTTTGTGGCTTACATTCTCATCTATTTGTTTGTGTAGGTTTTGTCGGCAGCTACCATTGTTGCAAAGCACACCTCGGCTCTTTGCAACGCCTGTCGTCTGGCGTCTTCCAAAACAGCCAATCCTGTAGCCCGGAGACATTTCGTGCAGTCAGCCAAAGAGGTCGCCAATACCACGGCTAACCTTGTGAAAACTATAAAGGTACAGCCTGCCGTTAATTACCAAAAGGTCATTTGGTACCAAAGAAACTGAGAATTGATTGAATCTTGTGCATCAGCATGAAGACCGTGAGCTTGTCTGACCATTTGCAACCTTATAACCATCGATAAAGCATTGTTTATGTGTATAGATTGAAGTGTGATCTCTCTGCTGTGTTTCTCAGGCCTTGGATGGGGATTTCTCCGATGAGAACCGCGAGAGGTGCAGAGTGGCCACGACCCCGCTGATAGAAGCTGTGTGTGTGAGTGAGTGAGTGAGTGAGTGAGTGTGTGTGTGTGTGTATATGGGTACTCATTCCACTGAATTTTTAGGGCTAAATTTTGAATCTTGAACCAAATCTGGAGGACATACAAATCTAAAAATGCCAAGGCAATGCTCTGGGGTTAGGATTTGTCTGTTTTGGGCATTCCAGACGAACTGTGTAATAGTGAATCTTTCTATAGGTTACAGCAGATTTATAGCTGAAATCTAGTTGTTATTAACTATAAATTCAGCTTAATCTGTTGGAGGTCCATGTGTGCGTGTAGTGCATGTTCAAATTCTTTGTGTATAAAGTATGGTAAAATGTACCTACACTGCCTTCATGAATAACTAGACGACTCCTCTCTTTGAAATATTGCCTGTAATGTTGTGCCAAAACAAAGTGGTTTCTCTCCATTCACTGACTGTTTGACACTGGACTTCCTCACAGGAAGTCTAAAAGGTCAATGAGTGTGGATGGGAGTTTTGTGGTGTTTTTAAACACAAGTCCCTGACAATTTTATCACCGCAGTCTGTTTGGGGTTTGTGGGAGTTTGGTTCTGTTCTTACAGCAACTACTTAAATGTTTTTAACATCTTGTTTGTTTTTAATAGAATTATTTAGGATTGTGTTTGTATCAATATTCGAATATTTTGGGTGATTGATAACATTTTTGCATTTGATGTTCTGATTTTTGAGGGATGGGTTATATAAGAAAAAAATATTTAAAAAATTATTTTTAAAAAAATTGGTTAATATTTTCCCTTTATATATGGTACACACATTTTTATGGGACTTTAAGAACAAAATAACTAAAGAACACTGTAAACTGAATTGTATTAAACATATTTCTTTCCAATCCCAGGGTTCAGCAGCCCAGGAGCCAATCCTTCGTTCCGCTCGTTCAATGCTGGACAGCTCCACCCACTTATTAGAGACCGCCCGCTCTCTCATCCTTAACCCCAAAGACCCGCCCACCTGGTCCATCTTGGCAGGCCATTCCCGCACCGTGTCGGACTCCATCAAGAGCCTCATCACGTCCATCAGGTCAGCATCATGCAAATAAATAGCTGATTTAGCAGTTGAGAAAGATGCACGTGACCGGTTTGGCGAATGTGAAAAGCTTGCGGCGGCATCGGTCTCCATCAGGTGTTAAATAATAATAATGCGGGTAAAAGATGAGGTTTAATTTAAACTTCTATTAAATAACTCGAGAGCGAGCGTTATTAACAGCAGCAGCTGTTCAGTCTGCACACGCGCTCTCGTTCCCTTCTCAAACCTTCCCTCGCACAGTCTGTTCCCCTCGTTACAGCTGCCGGGGGAAGTAATATCACCAGCAAGCAGTGAATTGAAAAACCAGGGAATGTGTTATAAACAAAGCCAATGAATATAGAATAATTATTATATTAAATATATTCAGTTGAAACATAAAGTATAATAAAACAACAGTTAAGCAAATGAATGTATAAATACACAAAACTGTCACAATAATTATTAAACATATCAATTTCACCTGTTACATTTATTATACATTTAAATATATTTAATAAATGTGTGTTTATTCTTTGGTGTCTGTTTCCTAATATGGATAATATTTAGTTTAGATTTAAGTTTTTATTAAACAAACACTGCTGTTCAAAAGTTTGGTGTAAGTAAGTTTTCCTTTATAGAAAATAAAAATATTTTATGCAGCAAATCAGCATATTAGAATGATTTCTGAAGGATCGTGTGGCACTGAAGACTGGAGTAATGATGCTGAAAATTCAGCTTTGCATCACAGGAATAAATTACATTTTAAAATATGTTCAAATAGAAAACAGTTCTTTTAAATTTTAATAATTCACAATATAACTGTTCAATAAATTATTTTAAAAAGTGTTTTTTTTAATAATCAATTAAACAACATGGTATTTCTTTCTTTCTTTCTTTCTTTTACAAAATTGCTGGTGTTTTAATTCAGTTAACAGTGACCATAAGATAATAAATATACATTAAATAGTTATTGCAGAGGTTTTGATAAAAGTTTAAATAATCAGGACTGATGACAGTAAATCAATGATTGGGATCAGCTGTAAAAGTCCTGCATCCATAAAACATTAATAGGAATAATAATAACAACTAAACACAAAAGATAAAACACTGGCAAGTACAACTTTATTTAATTATTTTTTTCATCATATGACCCCTTTAAGACTTTTCTTTTCCCAGAAGCCAACAGTAGGTTTGTTTTTTTTCTGAAGGATCGTTTGAAGGCTTTTTTTCTCTAAATAATAGCTGAATAACAGCTTGTGTCTGGTGTCACTGGGTTGTATTTTGTGGTAAGTGACTCTTTCTGGGTTTCTCTCTCTACTGAGAGTGCAGAGAGTGATTGAGGAAACTGAACACAGATCAGACACTCATCCACGCTTCTGCACATAGTGCGAACAGACGATCTGATCTGAGGTCAGTGACACTGCCTTCTCGACTGTAACACTCTCAGCAGTTGCAGGAACAGCGGCTGGGCTCGCTGCCCTCCACATACTGTCCTCCCAGATCAACCAATCAGAACTGGAGCTCAGCCAGCCCTCTGTGTGTGTGTGTGTGTGTGTGTGTGTGTGTGTGCGAGCAAAAACACCCACGTCTGCGCTGACTCTCCTGTTTTATGATACTGTAATGTAGAATATCCGGATTGAGTTGAAATACCTAATTCAATTAAGCCAAAGAACACTCCACGGCAACCCTGTAGCAACCTCTTCTCCTCTGTTGTCATAGGGACAAGGCCCCTGGGCAGCGGGAGTGTGACCAGTCCATCGACAGCATGAACAAGAGCATCAGGGACATCGAGCAGGTGTCCCTCGCCGCCGTGAGTCAGAGTCTGCCCCGCAGAGACGACATCTCGATGGAGGTAAACCAATAAAACACTTGTCTGTTTAGTCAATACCTGCCGTCACTCTGTAGTAACATTACATTTCATTAATGTTGCTCTGGTACAGTCTTACTTTCTATAATGTTTACAACAGCTTGTGTTGTAAAGCCAAGCGTTATGAATCTATGGAGAAAATTTTTTATGAGTTATTAATGTATTGTATCACTAATAAAAATACATAAACTACTTTTCAATGTAACAAATAAAGAGACATTTAAAAATATTTATCTCATGTTGCATAAAATTGAGCGTAATATTGTGTAATAATATATAATAGATGAATAATATTTAGAATAATGTTAATAATGTTTTAAATCATTTTGAAATGGAACATTTAAATAGCATTTTGATAAATGCTATAAATTGCTTTTCTTTATCCACTTAAAAAAGCCTTGTTGTTAAAAATGGCATTGGATAGTTCACACGTGGGAGCAGCTAATGAAATTTCGACTGGATTTTAAGACATTTAATATTTTGTTATTCATGTATTGTTTAATTGCTGCATTGAACTACATTTTTAAACATGAATTAAAAATTTTTTTTTAAAGATCTATGTGTCTATTCGTCAATTTTACAAGTAATTTCTTTACTTTTTTAAATGGATGAATAAATCAATACTTGATTCATTTTATTTTTAAGTGGCACCACCTAGTTCTCCATGTTAATGATTTTATGTATCAGCTTTAGTGTTATTTTAGAATTATTTATATGCTTTTATAATTGTAATAATTTGAAGTAGCTTTATTTCTATATTTTCAGTTTTATTTTAATTTTAGTTTGTTTTTGTAATTTTATGTGCTTTTGGCATTTTTTTTTATTAGTTTTTGTTTTTTTGTATTCGCATTTAGCTTTCAGTTTGTGTTAGTTTTTGCTAATTTTATTTCAGTTCCAAGGAAACATTTCTCTCTTTTTTTTCAAAGTTTAAGTTTTTCATCTAATATTTATATTTTATTTCAGATTTTTTTCAATTAACAAAAATGTTTTTTAATAGTTTGTTTTATTTAACAATAACAACCCTTTTTAGATTAGTATCAGAATCAAACAGGTTTATTGTACCTTTAATAGTTTAAGAATTGGATACTGTACCTTTAAGAATATATACTGTGAATGACATCTGTTTTGATTGGCTATCCTCCATGTACTGTTCACTCCACGGTGGAGCATGATGTGGAAAACTGGCATCGCTATGTAAATGTGGCTAGTCATGTGTTAATTGTTTCTGTGATGATTGTTGAATAAAGAATGAGTTTTTTTTTTTTAATCGTGTTCTTTTGAAAGTTGTCACACTTTGATTTCAAAGGAGCAAATTTATATTTTTCATATTCTATACCCCTTGTAACTTTAGTGCTAGTAATATTTTGGTATTATGAAATGTAGCATTAGTGTTTGAGCAAATGCTAATGTGACTCTGCCCCCATCAGGCTTTACAGGAGCAGCTGACGTCCGCCGTGCAGGAGATCGGCCACCTCATTGACCCCATCTCCACTGCAGCGCGAGGGGAAGCGGCTCAGCTCGGACACAAGGTAACTCGGACATCAAAAGTGGAAGTGCAAATATGTTACCGCTGTAGCCAGTCCATGATTGGCCAAATGCTTTACACAATTACGAAATGTTCCTGGATCAACAACATTGTCCTTCATCATACCTCCATATATCTTATGTCTATTTTGTGTAAATCACACAGTGCCATTTGAATAAACATCATGAATTGATTACATTATGACACATTGTAAAAGTGTGTCCAATTTGTTTTAATTAAATCCGGCTTTGTTTGTTGGAGCAAGATTGATTGAAAACGATTGTCAGCTTGTCAGTCGAATAAATAGCTGAAAAGTTGTATCAGTTCCCATCTATATATCACTCTTGCCTGAAATATATACTGGAAACTGTATGTTTGCATGCCAAATAGTCTTGACACATGTTTTTTTCCGCCAGGTGACTCAGTTAGCGAGCTACTTTGAGCCAGTGATTGTGGCGTCGGTGGGACTGGCGTCCAAACATGCCGACCACCAGCAGCAGATGAACATACTGGATCAAACCAAAACCCTGTTTGAATCTGCTCTACAGATGCTCTATGCTGCCAAAGAGGGCGGAGGAAACCCTAAGGTACGACACATGGAAATAACACATGGGGGTGTTTTTATGAAAAAAGCTTGATGTTCTGAAACCACCTGCAGCATCTGACGGCACATTCATAGAGCTTCTGGTTAGAAAGAACAGACTTTGATTATGTGTGTGTTGATGAAGTGATGCTAATGGGTCTGTGTTGGCCATCTTTATCCCATTAGCCACTAACTTTTTTGTTTTTGCAGGCGTCCCACACTCATGATGCCATAGCTGAAGCGGCCCAGTTGATGAAGGAGGCAGTTGATGACATCATGGTGACCTTAAACGAGGCGGCCAGTGAGGGCGGGATGGTGGGCGGCATGGTGGAGTCCATCGCTGAGTCCATCGGACGGGTTAGTGACTCGACATTGAAAACATAGTGGATGACCATTTTTCCAAATCCATTGCTAATATCAGGAGATCAGGGGGCAATGGCCAAAAAAAACTTGTGTGCAATCCAAAAAAGACTATGTTGTCAGTGAAATGAGTCCATAGATTCTCTGGCATTTTTCTATATTATAGCGTAACCGCTTTACAACATTTTTAAAAGCCGTTGAGTCACACTGAATCAACATTAGCTGACTTATGCCTGTCTCTATGACAACAATCTTTCATAACCTTAAAGGAGAGCTTCTTGTCTTTTTTTCCCTTTAAAATGTATGTACAAATTTCATAGTCATTGACATTGGGTGTCTGTTTCATTCCGGTATACACATACTCTTACTCATAAAATCTCTCTGTCGTAGTTGGACCTCCATACAGATTGTTTTTCAGGGTTAAATTCTATTCTTCAGAGCCCAATAACCTTCATGAAGAGTTCACCAGGTAAACAACAGTTGTCATATATGCCTTTTCCTTGTCTGTCGTGTAAAGCTCTTTAATTCATCTAACTGAGATTTTTAAAGGGATAGTTCACCCAAAAATGGAAATTATCATCATTAATCACCCCCATTTTGTTCAAATCTGACTTGCTTTCTTATGTGAAACAAAAAAGATGTTTGCCTCCACAATATCCTTTCATCTCCACGTAATGAAGTGAATGAAACCTGCAGCTATCAAGCTCCAAAATGACAAAAAGGCGCTATAAAAACATAATAAATGTTGTCCATAGGGTTCATGCACTATATTGTCTTCTGAAGTGACATAGTTAAACATATTTATGATATTGCTTCAGAAGATTGAAATACTCTTGAGTGTGAGTACAAAACAACATTTTTAATTTTGGGTGAATTATTTTTTTAAATTTATCAGCAATGCATGATATATCAGTACCATATCAGTTATCAGCTGTTATTAGAGATTTTTCAATTTATCTGTATGTGTCAGTGTTCAGTTTTGCATGGTCATTTCCTTTATTCTAAACTTTACTTTACCTTATATATATATATATATATATATATATATGGCCAGTAAACTGTATAACTGGTATATATATGTTACACAATTCTTTATTATTATTATTAAAATGAAAAATAAGTGCACAAAGAACTAAAAAGGCAAAAAAGAAAAAATAATTTATAGATATTTATTTATTTCATCATTATTTACTCTCAAATTTCACCTGCATTTGTATATCATAACCACATAAATACAGAAACATAAACTCATTCACAGTCTTATTTGATCAGTCGTACTCAAATGTTTTTGTAATGGCAGCTACCATGTTTAATTGACATTATATACAATATTTATATTAACTTTTTTTCATCTTTAAAGCAGTAATGTTATTGACCAATAATAATAATAATCCCTATAAAAATAAATAATTACTATTATTATTGTTATTATTATTATATATGAAAATAAGTGTATGAAATTATATAATTAAGTATATATGAATAACAACAGAACTGTTTGACCAAAACGGTAAAATAAATATTTATATTTTTTTATTTTCATATTTATAGTAATATATATGTATGTAATATAATATAAAATATATGTTGACTAATCATTTCTGAGTTTATAAAAAATATTAAAATTAATTTATTTAAATTCCCCTTTTTTATTACAAATCAATGTAATTTCTTAACATATATATTGTTTTGTTTTATTAGATATCTGTAGAATGTTTTCTGATCAAAGTCATCTCTAGCTGGCACTCATATGTAAATGTGTCACAGATACTACAGCTGCCTCTGTATCTCATTATTAGACTGAATTGGCACAACATCTCCATTTATCAGCTCTGGATGCACGCAATCTGTCATTATGCTGTCATGACTCACGGTGGAAGACAATGGCAGCCATTTGAATATCTGCACTCTGATCATTTTCTGCGGGAATGATAGAACGCAAAGACGGTAATTTGATCCAGCATTACATCGCTGTTATCCAGGTCTCTTTACTTCACAGATGGATGAAGGAACTCCACCAGAGCCTGATGGCACTTTTGTGGATTACCAGACCACCATGGTGAAGTTTTCAAAAGCCATCGCCATTACTGCGCAGGAAATGGTGAGAATGCTCACTCAAAATGCTTCAACATCCTCTCACATCTTTAGTCACTGTATCACAGCTTATACTTCTGTTATGTGACCCTAGATGACGAAGTCAGTGACATGTCCGGAGGAGCTGGGTGGACTGGCGTCTCAGGTGACGGTGGATTACAGCCAGCTGGCACAACAAGGCCGTCTGGCAGCTGCCACTGCTGAGTCAGAGGAGGTGAGGATCAGTCCAGTAAGTGTGTCTCTACCCCCACAGGAGCATTGACCTGAGAAATGCACATCTGCAGACACGCTAATGGACGCGCAGATGGCCTAAACCTCACATAAACTCTACACAGATCACTTAAAACTGAAACTGAATTAGCTTTGAAAATGAAAAAAAAAAAACATCCAAAAATGTCTTGAATTTAATTCATATGACTTGTGCACTATATTATTACACAGCCCTGCATCTTGAAAAAAAGATCTGCTGATTTGCAAAAACTCATATTACCCAATTTCATGATGCTGAGTTCCAAAATATCCATCAAATACAGATTTTTCACAAAATAAGAATGACGATTCTTATTTATATATATAAGTATATATACTGTGTGTGTGTGTGTATATATATATATATATATATATAAGAATCTGCATTCTTAATTTGTGAAAAATCTGTGAATATATAGCTTTAATGCACTTATCAAAATAACAAAAGCAGTCAAATGATTCAGTTTTAGAGGTATTCAAAATGTGTCATTTAAATGACATTCTGTAAAGTAGTGGAAAAAGCAGAAATCTGGCATAAAATAGGCATAAAGTAATGACTTCAGAATCATTCATGCATGTGAAAATTGGCTGAGAATTGAACGGGGAAAGGGGAGAGAGCATATTACTCCTGCGTTAATCAAACTGCATTGCTTACCTGTACGATACAGAATTCATTTCAAAGCGTTGCTGTATGTTTTTAAGGCTGTGCATGGTCTATCACCTGACTATGTTACTGATTTAATTAGTGTCTGTCAATCCAGCAGATCTCTGCGCTTAAATGATCAACTACTCCTAAAGGCTGATTTATACTTCGGGTGTTTTTCAGAGTTCGCTTAAAACTCATTTGTTTTCTCTAGCTTTTGACAATGTTTTTTAGCTGTGTATGATATTTGTTGTTACTATTATTATTTATTTATTTTTATTTTTTATTTTATTTTACTATTATTATTTTTTATTTGTTTTTATATATATATATTTTTTTTTCTCTGTACAGCACTTTGGTTCCAGTCGTGGTGTTGAAAGTGCTTTATAAATAAAGTTTGAGTTGAGAGAGTTGAGGAAGATTTTTTTGCAGTTTTTCTGGGATAATACAAGACTTCAAATATGAAAAAAAAGACTTCTTCACCTTACAAGTGGTTCTTGAAAGCAAAAAAGCTACAGAATGCATCTCTCTTTTTTTTTTTTTTGCATTTTTGCCTTTATTATGGTAAGACAGTATGTTGACAGAAAAAAGTATATACTTTTGTTATAACAGAAACTTAAGTCATTATTTACTGAAAAACTTGGTCTTTATTTACTCTCAAATCTCACCTGTGTTTGCATATCATAACCATTAAAAAAAAAAAAAACTTTGAAAAACCATATAAAAACCATCTTAAATGGCACTTGTTCACTGTATTCCAAGTCTTCTGAAACCATTCGATAGATTTGTGAGAAATAGATCAAAATTTACTGAAAATCTTTATTCACTCTCTATTTATTCAGTAGGTCATTATTCACTCTCTAATCTCATCCACAACTGTGTATCATAACCACTTAAATATAATAAAAATAAACTCATTCACACCTTCTTATTTAGTGCAAACACATGCAACTTGGTCAGTGTTGTATAGCAAACCTCATACTTCAATTTTGCATGGAGTTAAGTCTGTGAACAAGGGTGCGAACACCAGCCGACACATTTCACACCTTTGCTCTCTCCACATTTGAAAAAAGGAAGCCGACACGTGGACGCGGTAGTCACCAGCTCTCTCTTCACTAGCGTTTTACATAAGCGGCCATTACCATGTTGATTACTGACGACACCTTAGTAATAGCACAGAAACACCTATGCAACCACCCACAACACTCTAGCAATAACATTGCAACACTCTGTCGCCTACACACAACACCTTAGAAACACATTGGCAACCACCAAAAACACCCTAAAATAGCATAGCAACACCCTGTTGATTACTGACGACACCTTAGTAATAGCACAGAAACACCTATGCAACCACCTGCAACACCCTAACAACACATTGGCAACCACCAACAACACCCTAAAAATAACATAACCATATCTTAGCAAACATATAGCAACACCTTCAACTACCCTTGACACCTTAGTAATAGCATAGCAACACCCATGCAGCCACCAACTCCCTAGCAATGGCATAGCAACACTCATGTTACAATCCACAACATCCTAGCAATCTCATAGCAACACTTTTTCAACTACCCATGGCACCCTATCAACCTTATATCAACACCGTAACAACCATCCATAACGCCCTTGAAACCACATAGCAATGCCATTGCTACCCACTGCAACATCTTAGAAATAACATAGCAACACTCTTTCAACTACCCACTACACTGTAGCAATCACATAACACCTTTTAAAATACCCACATCACCCTAGTGACCACATAGCAACACACCGGCAACCACCCATAACCCTAGCAACGACATGGCAACGCGCTTGCTACCCTCCTCAACATCCTAGCAATCATATAACAACACCCTTTCAACTAAACTTGCTACAGCATATCAACCACATAACAAAGGCCATACAACCAACGACAACACCATAGAAACCGCATAGCAACACCCTGGCAAACACAACACAGACAGGCACAATGAGAGTCGCTTGCTCATTTCAATGACTACACTTTTCATTCATAGCTTTTGTTTGGGGTTTTTTTCAGCTGTTTTTATACCATTGTTGGAATGAATGCTGGAAGCCCCGGTTGAGAATGTATAGAGTAGATGACATTCATCAGTGTGTCATATTGTCTTTGATTACATCTCAGTAGCTGGAGTTGGTCTGTCCCGCTGTGGTGGCGCTGTGACCCCTCACTGCTTTAAATGAGCTCTGTTAAATGTGTCCGCGTCCCCCACCAGCCCCATTCAGTTCAAACCTCAGCTCTGCCTGCAATAATTTCTCTAGTAAACGTGAATAGACATGGTCGCATTCCAATGCCTCCCTTATGGTTTTTCATCTACTCGTGAAGAAAACACCATTGTTCTTTATTTCTCTCTCACTCTCTTTCTGAAAGTGTCAGTGTAATGGTCTCACTTTAATGGACTTGTCCATCTTTCTTTCAGTTGTTTGTCAGAGCCCATCACTCAATATTTGTCTCTCTCTGATGTTGATGATAGTGGAAGCAGTTATGTTTATACAGATCTAGGATCAGTTTACATTAGCGTCTATTGTAGCTTGTAGGAACACGCATTATATTATATTATATTATATTATATTATTTGTTAAATAATATTTAACAAAATAGCAATAATACATTTTGTTTAATTTATTATAATTATGTCCTGGTTTCACAGTCAGAGCTTAGACTAAGCCAGGATTAGGCCATAGTTCAATTAGGAAATTTAAGTAATTTTTATAAACGTCAAAAAAACATCTGTTGTGCATCTTGAGACAAAACAAGGGCACTGACATTAATCAACATAATACAATTAAATTGAATTATTAAACTATTTAAATTCTATAATTATAATATATGAAACAAAACATTCTTGAATTATTATTATTTGCTGTTAAATATTATATATTATGTTATTTTATATTGTTAAACTATATAAATGATGTAATTATAATATATTGAATAACCTTTCAAAACGAATTATTTATAGTTATAATACAATACCATAATACAATGGTATAATATAATATGTATTTCTAATTAGAATATTTAAATTATATTATTAATCAAAACCTTCTAAAACTTCATTGTTATTATAATATTTGTTAATAAAACATTTTTTAATAACAAATAAAAAAAGCCGACACATTTCACACCTTTGCTCTCTCCACATTTGAAAAAAGGAAGCCGACACGTGGACGCGGTAGTCACCAGCTCTCTCTTCACTAGCGTTTTACATAAGCGGCCATTACCATTACCATAGCAACCGTGCACCCCCACAAGCCTTAAAAGCCCGTTGTGATATTCATAATGAAGAGCCGCCCACCCATGGATCTGTGTGTCAGGTAATGAACATACAGTGCTGTCGGGCCCCTTCAAAGGCCATCACAATCACTTCTTAATTATTGAATAGAGTTTTATTGAACGGAGGCAGTGGCTTTTAGAGCAGTCGCAGAGCACGAATACATTCAGATTTAGACCCAGATTCAGGCTGACTTGGATGCCAACTCTTTCTTAAACTTGATTTCATGGCTGTATTTCCAGGTGGGATCTCAGATCAAGACTCGGGTTCAGGAGTTGGGTCACAGCTGCATCTATCTGGTCCAGAAAGCCGGAGCCCTGCAGATGAGCCCGACGGACAGTTTCACCAAGAGAGAGCTGATCGAATATGCCCGTGCTGTCACAGAGAAGGTAGGCTCGCTCAGGACATGGGAGGCTGTTACTTCTGTTCGGTTTGCTGCATTACTTTGTTTTGTTTCTATTAACTTTTCATTACCGTATTAGAAAATAATGTTTTGAAAGCCTCTTCTGAGTACGCTTACAAATACTGCTGATTTATTTAGAAGTATGCTACACTTGCTAAGGCAGTGGTTCCCAACCACATTCCTGGAGCCCCCCTAACACTGCACAATTTGCATCTCTCCTTTGTCTGACACGCCCATTTCAGGTCTTGGAGTCCCTACTAATGAGCTGATAATCTGAATCAGGTGTGTTTGATTAAGGAGACATGGAAAACTTGCAGTTTTGGGGGGACTCCAGGAATGTGGTTGGGAACCCCGCGGTGCACATATTCACATTGTGAATAATAAAACAGTTAAAAATTATATTTAAACTTATATTGAAGGAGGGACCAAAGTCTTATGTAGAGACCAGAATATGATAAGGATATATTTAAATTATATTATTAATCAAAACCTTCTAAAACTTCATTGTTATTATAATATTTGTTAATAAAACATTTTTTAATAACAAATAAAAAATATATAATTTAAATAAAGAAATGTAGTACATTAAATTAAATATTCATTTCATTACTGACACCCAAGAAAAGTGCTACAGGCTTAGAAAGCTGTCCCAGCTCTGCCTATGGAGTTTATAATGAAGTGTGATTCACTGTCTCCTGCAGGTGTCCATGGTGTTGTCAGCCCTGCAGGCTGGTAATAAGGGAACTCAAGCCTGTATAACTGCAGCCAGTTCTGTCTCCGGCATCATCGCTGATCTGGACACCACCATCATGTTCGCCTCTGCCGGCACACTTAACGCAGAGAACGAAGAGTCTTTCGCAGATCACAGGTGAGACCTAGTAGAGCATACCACAGTTTCAGCATCACATACATAAAATGATAAAGGTTTGTTTTATTAATGTTTTGCATATTCTTAAGCTCCAAAAATAGTGTCTGTTGTGTTATCTGAAGTGTATTTGTTTCTGCACACTTCAGAGAGAACATATTGAAAACCGCTAAAGCTTTGGTTGAAGACACCAAGCTGCTTGTGTCTGGTGCTGCATCGAGCCAGGACAAACTAGCCCAGGCGGCCCAGTCCTCTGCCAAAACCATCACACAGCTCACTGATGTGGTCAAACTGGGCGCTGCGAGCATGGGCTCAGAGGACCCCGAGACACAGGTGCACATTTCACATAGATTTTCACAACGCCAAAATTTCAGTAGACATTACCAATTCCAATGTGTTCTAATTCTGTCTGCTCCTATATTTTTATCCTGGACTATATTTATCCTTTTTCACACCCTGACTCAGTGTAATGAGAATACCATTAGCTCTCCTCTCAAATGTCTCGACGTTTGGGTGCAGACACTCTTTGACTCACAGCCAATGGCAGGTATCATGACACATCTCTGGCCAAAATCTAAATTACCTGTTGAGGATTAATGTTTCATAATGTTTTGTATGCTATTATATAGGTGGTTCCGATAAAGAACTGCACCACTGGAGGTGTGCAATGCATCATGGGGGTGGATAAAGCCAGTGGCATATCATGACTAAAGGTGGTTGTGAATAAAGGCTTCTCTCTATCTCTTTCAGGTGGTACTGATAAACGCTATCAGAGACGTTGCTAAAGCTTTGGCTGAGCTGATTAGTGCCACTAAATGTGCCGCAGGCAAGGCAGCAGACGATCCGTCCATGTATCAGCTGAAAAGTGCTGCCAAGGTATGTTTGGTTGAAGAATGTTGCATGTCTGTCTGTAAGTTCCTGTTTGTAGGAAAAGCATTATGCGTCTTAGTGAGGATCATATCTTATTCTGATGACTATCTGTGTGTGTGTGTGTGTGTGTGTGTGTGTGTGTGTGTACGCCTACACCTGTCTAACAGCTGGCCCTGTCTCTCATTTTCTTGGCTGGGTGCTGTCTTCACTTGCTGTCATCTTGGTGTGTGGCCACAAATCAAACCCTATCTTACAGTGATCATAGTGTATATGTGAGTGACTCAGTGGCCACGCTGCAGGGTACAGAACCAAGCTGTGTGTGTGTACAACATAAGGACTGCTTCCTTCCCTTCCTCTCTTCTTTTTTCTGTCTTCTCTCCAATGCCATGTATGATTTGCTACATGGCAATACTGATTAATTTTGTAATCCTAATTAAAAGTTATTAAATTATAATGGCACTCATTTCTGCAGTTATTCTGTGGATCAGATAACGCAGTTTATTATATGAAGTGATAAAACTATCTCCAGGCTTGGAGATAAACCTCTGGGATTAACTTCCACATACATGCAACATGATATGTTTTATTTAGCATATTTAAATATTGAGTTGTTATGCTGTTGTGACCTTCACGGAAAAACTTTTTACATTCCTCCAGCATATGGTGACTTCAGATCCTCTGGGATTTTGCTTCAGACATTCATTGCACTTTTTTCTTCAGTGTGTGTTTAAAGTAGTGGTGGCGTACCACAGGGCTTTGTCTTAGGCCTCCTTTTATTTCCTTAGGTTTCCTTCTTTATCCTTTTGTGCTTAACTTTGCCTAAAGCAAGATTTGTAATCCATTACTGACCTCAGCTGTAGTCCATTAAAAAGTCCAGTTTGATCACCTGACCATTTTCTGATGTTAGTTTTTTACCTTACAAAGAACAGAATCTGCTCGACCTCTCTGATTTCACTGAGCTGTTTGATACAGCTGTTCTTGTCATAGCATTGCATCTGACCTTATTTCAGTGTGTCAGGTGAAAAACTGGCCACAAAACTGTTGACATTCTCTAGTTGAGCTCACTTAAGCTATCATACATAAAGCAGAAAAAGGAGTTCTAAGACAGTCCGAGACTTTGACCTCCCTATGTTTTCTGATGTTACAGGTGATGGTAACGAACGTGACCTCTCTACTGAAAACTGTGAAAGCGGTGGAAGATGAAGCCACTCGCGGGACGAGGGCTCTTGAAGCCACTATTGAGTGCATCAAACAGGAACTCACTGTATGCAACATTCTTTGTGTGAATATTGAAATATTCAAAGAGATAATGTGCTTCCCACTTTTCATTATTTTCTAACCCTCATGCCATTTGAAACCTGTATGTGGAACACAAAAGAAGATATTTTGAAAGTCAATGGGATCTAAACAACATTGTATGGACTAAAAAAAACACTGAGACATAGGGGTGTGCGATATCACGATTTTTGATCTTGGACGATCAAAATGTCTCCACGTTCTGCTTTTGAAGAAATATCGTAGTATCGTGAGTTTCATTCAAACATTTCGTTCTGACATGCGCTTTTTCTAAGCACGTACACTTGACGCTCGCTCACACTAAGAAGTCTGTCAAACAGCGCCTGATCTGGACTAAGTTATCTTTTGCATCTGATTGCGCTAATAATGTCAAAAACACACAAGGTTTTCATATAAACAGTTGGTTATGTCTAAAGTGAAAGTAGACAGTTGAGAGAAAAACGGATGCATGCCTGTATATTATGCTGCATTCACACCATGTCATAATTACTGTAATTTCGAGATGACAGCACGTGTCATTCTACTTGGAAGTGTTCACACCCTTGGCTCAGAACTATCGCACTATCAATGCCTAAACATAGCGCCTAATGAATCTTATGTGGTCAGGTGGTAGTGGAACAAGTTGTAGCTCTCAGAAAACTCCCAGTTCACAAGTTATAATTACGAGTTCTACGAGGATGTGAACGCTTTTTACAAGTTGGAATCTCGTAATCACAGTAATTACGATATGGCGTAAACCAGGGGTGTCAAACATACGGCCCGCGGGCCGAACACGGCCCACAGAGGTGTCCAATCCGGCCCGCAGGATGATTTAAACAATATTATAAAATTTTTTTTTTTATTATATTGTAGTTTGTATGGTTAATATTAATGTAATTGTGAGCAAACTAGGGTTTAACAAAAGGTAATTCGGCCCACACAAGGGGGCATTTTCTCCGATCCGGCCCTCAACCTTAAATGAGTTTGACACCCCTGGCGTAAACGCACCTTTAGATGAGTGCAGGTCTTAAGGCATCAGTACTAAACATGATGCCCCTTGTCATTAAAGGGATAGTTCACCCAAAAAATAAAATTCTGTCATTATTTACTCACTCACATGTTGTCCCAAACATGTATTAATTTCTTTCTTGTGTTGAACACAAAAGAAGATATTTTGAAGAATGTTGGTAACCAAACAGTTGCTGGTCCCTATTGACTTTGACAATAGGGAGGGGAGGGATACTGTACCATGGAAGTCACTGGTGACCAGCAACTGTTTGTTTACCCACATTCTTCAAAATAACTTTGAGCAACAGAAGAAAGAAACTCATTCAAGTTTAAAACAACTTGAGAGTGAGTAAATGATAACATAATTTTTATTTTTGGCTGAACTATCACTTTAATGTTAATAAAGCAAAAAAACTGAGAAAAATCACTCACTGCTCTTGATTGAAATGTATATAGTGTTTAATTTTTATATTTCTTCATTCAATTTCTTGAATGCTACTGCTAAATACACCTACCGTACCTGAAAAATAAAGCATTGTTTGTTTTATTTGTATGTTATGTGTATTTAATGTGTATCTTTGTTCTTATTTTATAATAACAAAGGTAAAATAATGACACCGATTTTTATCTTCACCCACTTCAGCCTAAATATCTGCCATTCTTTTTTGTTACCTTGTAAAGCTTTGTTTTTAAAATAGGGAAATTAGTTTGGCTGTACTGCTCAGACAACATGCAAAATAGTAAAACCAACATGACAAAGAATCGTGATAAAATTGTGAATCGTGATTTTCCCGAAAAAAAATCGTGACATGATATTTTTGCTATATCGCCCACCCCTACTGAGACATTTGTCAAAATATCTTCTTCTATTCCTTTAAGCACTTGGGACTAGTTAGTACATGTCATGCTCATTTTGATCCTAATTAAGATGCTAATACAATCAACTTGTATAACAATCTGGCTGTGAATTAGTACCAATTTGGTCCAGCCTAATTAATTTTACCCCAGACAGAGGTAAAAACCCATCCATCTGTGATATGAACTGGTAATACAAAATAATACACCCTGTGAGCTTTGCCTGTTCTCCACCTGCTCCTCGTTCTCCTTCTCCCATGGGCATCCCTGCTCCACTTATCAGAGGCCGTGTGAGAGATTGAGATAGTGGTACAGGAAGGCATGAGATTTATCTTCTGGTTTAATGCTCCTGTTATCAGATGCCCATCAGGACTTTAGGAAATCCTGATGGCATTACTGTATTAGTGCACAGAAAATCAGCCCTGGTCATACGACTGATTCTAAAAATGTATGATTCACTGAAGAGTTGCAGATATGTTATTTCTATTATGTATAAAATATTTCTTCATTTCCCTGACTGTTGCATCATCTGCTTTCCAGGTTTTCCAATCCAAGGACGTTCCGGAGAAATCTACCACCCCAGAAGAGTTCATCCGCATGACCAAGGGCATCACCGTAGCGACGGCCAAAGCGGTGGCAGCAGGCAACTCTGCTCAGCAGGAGGACGTGATATCCACTGCCAACCTGAGCCGCAAAGCCATCTCTGACATGCTGACCACCTGCAAGGTGCTTATCCACCATCACACACATATATGCCCATTCACACAAACACAATCTCACCGTATGCTGACCAACTGTACGGTGGAAATCCACAAACACTTGAATGCCAGCAAAATTAGTTTGTTGTGCTCACACACAATGCACAATGAATGACATTTGCTCTCTTTCTCAAATTCATTTGGCACTAACCTTCTTTTGACTCCTAAATTACGCCCTCTAGTGTCGTCATGATGTAATGCATTTCCTACAGTCCACAGATTCCTATAAAGCTACAGATTTTTCCCTCAAAATTACAAGAATCTGCAGATTCCATTTGGAGCTAATCATCACATACCATAAATCTGTGTTTATGTCTTGCAGCAAGCCGCGTACCATCCAGAAGTGGGTGAGGATGTGAGGAGTAAAGCTCTGCTCTACGGCATCGAGTGCACAACTGGATACACCGACTTGCTCGAACACGTCCTGCTTGTGAGTGGGCTGACAGTTTTTACAGGATGTTTTTGTGCTTGGGGTTCTAGGATTAACCTCGTGTGTTTACTTCACACAGGTACTGCAGAAACCCACGGCCGAACAGAAACAGCAGTTGGTCGCACTGTCCAAGAAAGTGGCGGGCTCAGTCACGGAGCTCATCCAGACTGCTGAAGCCATGAAAGGTGAGCCCACACAAATGGATATGCTACAATGGGATTGAAGGTCCTGCAAGGAAAATTCTGTTTTTCTTTTTGTTTTTGGTCCCAAAGGATTTGTTTTTATTGAATATTGTTGGAGCAACACAATTAATGTGAAAAAATGGATTAAAATAGTTTTTTACTACAATTATGTAAATAAAAAAGACTTGTAATCAGGGGATAGTTCACCCAAAAAATGAAAATTTGCTGAAAATGAACTCACCCTGAGGCCACCCAAGATGTAGATGAGTTTGTTTCTTCATCGGAACAGATTTGGAGAAATGTATTGTAGCATTGGGTCACTTGCTCACCAGTGGATCCTCTACAGTGAATGGGTGCCGTCAGAATGAGAGTCCAAACAATTTATTAAAAAATCACAGTAATCCACAAGTAATCACATTGTGAAGTGAAAAACTGCGTGTTTGTAATAAGTCCATAATTAAGATGTTTTTCATTTCAAACTGTTGCTTCCAGCAAAAATGAGTCCTCTATACATAATATTGTGGAAAAACTCGTCTCGTCTGAATCAGGAGAGAAAATGCACAGATCAAACACCATTTGCAAGCAAAAACAGACCAAAAGTAAACAAATATCTTAATGGATTTTTATGTGAGAGGGCAATAGGGGACAAATTCATCTACATCTTGGATGGCCTGAGGGTAGGTCATTTTCAGCAAATTGTAATTTTGGGGTGAATTATTCCTCTAAATATAGTTCTATTTGCACTATAATTATTTTTTAAAAATCAGTATTGTCTTTTTTAAAATATTTATTCCAAAATCCAATTATAATGAAAAAATCTAACACATTTAATTTAATTTTGCGAATGATGGGTTGTCAAATTCTGCTGAGCTTTCCGCAAGCACAGATCTCATGCAGGCCTGGTAATGGTATATGAGTTTGAGAGCTAATGGGGGCAGGTCGATTGAGCTGAATTTGTGCAGGTTTAATACAGCCATTGGGCTGAAGGCACTCTCTTGCTCTTTTCTATAACACTACTTTGTTGTTTTTTCCTTTTCTGCCACAGATGGAGGTGAGTATGATACACAGTGTTGTTTTTCTCCAATATCAGGCCACACACGTAGAGACGGAATACTGACCAGCATGGACACACACACACTCATACAATGAGTTATAGTGTGAGAGAAAAGAGAAGAAGGGATAGAATTGAATTCCCTCAGGTTTAACATAATCCTCAAACACATTCTCACCATCTGTTTTCACAAGCTGTTTGAACAAAACAGACGTCTTTTAGTCCCTCTTGAACGTTGGTAAAGGAGAATGTATTGCGAAGCATATTTGCTCCATAAATGGCTATTAACGTAAAGATGTGCACGTTCATCTAAGCAATTAATGAATGATTGTGACTGTAATGACCTGCCAGTCAGCACTGTTTACCTTAAAGTTATAGTTATTAAAGGTTGTGGCATCCGTTCTTTATCATACATTAGCATTAGCATTTATCATAAATTGTCATTATTATTTATTATATTTATATATTATATATTTATTATAATTTTTGAGATTTTTCTGTAATAATTGGGGGGGTTCATAAAAGTAGGATTTATTTCCTTGAATTTTTGTAAGGGTCTTGTGGTGAAATGTGATTTTCTCTATACAGGCGGTTTTTGGTTTGAATCGCATGTTTTTTTTTCTTTATTTTTTTAATTAAAATCAGTTTTTTCATGTCATACCATGTTTACTCTTTCCATGTGCATGTATTATATATAAACATTGTAAGTGCATTGAAAATGAGGGTCATGTTGACATTGTTTGCACATCCTCTCAGGTTCAGAGTGGGTGGACCCAGAAGACCCCACGGTGATAGCGGAGACAGAGCTCCTGGGTGCTGCTGCGTCCATCGAGGCTGCGGCTAAGAAACTGGAGCAGCTGAAGCCCAGAGCCAAACCAAAGGTATCCTTCCATCCATCTTCTGAATCCAAACACACACACACACACACAATGCTGTGATCAGCCCGCCAACACAACTATGTCAGATCATTTCCACCAAAGGCTGCGGGAACGTTTCATTCCTATTTTATATTTGAGGGGAGGTGATGTTGTTTTTGTAATTTTAGGACTTCAAGACTTCAGGATGTGGTGTTTTTGTATTTTCGTGGTGTTTGGGAAGTTTGCGCACATCTGTGTAACATTTTCTTTGTTTTTTTTGTACATTAACAATTTATATTTTGCAGTCTGGTGAGCACTGAACTTGAAATGATCATCTGGTTTTTGGTTTGTTGGGCTTTTTTGTGATCTGTCTTGCATCTCAATTGTTCAGTATTGTGAAGTTTCGTTTTAGAGCATGCTGAACTTTTAGTCAGTCTATCTGAAACTCATCACCAAGAAGGTCAGCACTTTTTAGAAATGATTTTCCCTAAAGCTCTTTTATTGTTTCATCCATCTGTATTATAGTTTAGCTGTCAGTGATTCTTTTCACCTAAAAAAAAAAAAGCATTCATCCACATTTTGCCACTCAGAGCTGAAACTGTTTCCCCCCTTGAGTGTCTTAGTGATTAACATTTACTGCCACAGGCGGAATACTGTACAGAGAGACAACATCCATCTATTGTCCTGTATATGTCTGTCTGTCTGTCTGTCTGTCTGTCTGTCTATCTATCTATCTATCAATATATCTGTCTGTCTATCTATCTATCTATCTATCTATCTATCAATATATCTATCCATCTATCCATCTTTCTATCTATCTATCTATCTATCTATCTATCTGTGTCTGTATGTCTGTCTGTCTGTCCATCAATCTCTCTGTGCCTCGTCTGTCTGTCTGTATATCTATATTTCTGTCTGTCTGTTTGTATATCTATCTGTCTGTCTGTATATCTATCTATCTATCTATCTATCTATTAGGGATGTTCATTTTAACCGTCCGGTTAACCGACCGTAAGAATTTTGACCGATTAATACAATCAGTTAAACTGTTTAAAAAGTCATTTAATTATTTCTTTTTTCAGTAATTTATCAAAATATTTAAAAAAGGTTTGCTGCATGGTTAAAATATGCTATGTGTATTAAAAAATTTGTTTTTTAGGAGGAAATTGTATTATTTCATTCAGAAATAGGCCTAATGCCGAC